CAGAGATGTGAATGAAAGGAAGCCATGTAAGAACACACCCGGGAGAACACCATACATAACATACTACTCCTCTTGTTGGCTCTCCTAAGTACTTAGCCCAGTTATTCACACATAAGCAGAATTTAGATAAATAAGGGTCAAGGGTATGGCATTCTGAAAGGCTGGCCACTTCTGGCTAGAGGACTGTTTTTTTCTATTCAATAAATTCAAGAGTAGCTACATCTTCAGACAAATGTCTTGTTAGCTAGGAAAAGATTGGCTAGAAATCAAACTCCAGTGAAGAACTGTTTCAAACATAATTCGTGTTTCATTTCCTTGACTAAATCATATATATGTCTGCAAATGTTGGGTTAGGAAGCACGGACTGGAGTTTTTGTTGGGCGGCTAAGATGTTTTTACGGAGGTAGAAATAGGTACTAACTTGGTTTGCAAAGTACTCTCCTCCTCGTAAACGTGGCATACCCAAACGCTGAGAAGAACAGGTAGAGTTGGAGAGCACAGGCAGTAGGAATAATAAGTGAGCATAATGAATTTTAATTGGGCCATAACTAATAGAACGATCCTTATTCTAGTTGTACGGTGTGTCAGAATCTTGTAGCCAGAAGAAGAAAGGATGAAATGCAAAAGCCAAAAGGCAGCACAGTCCCGGACTCTGGGCTGAGCTAGTTATTAGTGTGACCGTTTTGGTCGAAACCCTTCTCCTCTCTATTTCACCAGGTCACTCCTCTCTCTGCTGTGAATCATCTCTGAGAATCTGTAACAAGCACATCATTGTCAAGAAGTTAAAAGCAATGATAAGTTGTTCTGCTAACACCTGTCAGTGAAATAACTCAGAGCACAAAACCCGGGCATTTAAGGAGTTGACAAGTATTATTAAGCCTGTTTTGCAAGAGAAGAAGCTAGTTCAAAGAGGGAAAGTTGTCAAAGGTAATACAGTCAGTAAGAGGCTCAGGGGCCTCTGCCTTGCACAAGCAGGCTCACCCCTCGGCCTCTTGTGGCCCAGGAAATCAAAGGGCCATCCAGGAACAGTTATTGACGTTTCCTTCTGTCCAACTTTAAAATGCCATGACCTTTTTAAAGCTACAAATATGTCTTAAATTCAAGTATAATTCTTATGACTGGTTTTCTCTGTTTGAGTTTTTTCCCCCATTCAGAAATTTATACTATGTTAAATTATTAGATGCTAGCAACAGTCTATTTCTCCCAGTACTGCTTCCTTTTTTTTTTTTTTTTTTCCTTTGAGCACTGTAACTTGTCTGTCTTTGGCACCTTGCTAAGCCTCATGTCTGAATTGAGGTGGATCATAATAATGCTTTCCTCCGGGGGATGAGGCTTTGCGCAGTTCCTCCCTTGAACCTGAACTGAATTTCATGATTTCATTAAAGAAAAAAGATAGGAAAGCCTAATTAGGATTTATAATTCAGAAATTCTTCTCCCTTTTTTTGTAACTAACTTTTTAGTTGCTTTCTACTCTGTTTACTTCTATTAAAAAAAATAATAAACAAGGAATAAGAAGTGTTAATGTGGGTTTAACAGAAAGCAGAGCATAAGACAAACGCTTAAACACAAATACCCTATTCAGGACTCTGACCCAGGGAGTAAGGGCCAGGGACAGGGCAAGTGAAGCAGAGGAGTGGGAAGAGCCTTACAGAAATGTCTGCCATGTTCAAGTTGGCCACCCCTATGCACAACTAGTTGCTTAATCCTGCAGGACAGCCTGACGAACCAGAAACCCAGGAGTGGACAGAGAGTGGCACTGTTAGGTGGCTGGCACATGCAAGGAGCCAGCTGGAGCCCAGGAAGAGCCAGTGGCTGTAAGACGTTGCAGGGACAACAGATGACTCTGAGGTAGTGAGAAGTGGTCTCCCATAACACACAACTCTATTCTCGTTGCATGCACTTCTGCGTATGAGGATATAAAGTAAAACATGAACTCTTGCTCCCCACCCCAACCCTGTCATTAACATTTCATTGTCTATGCATTCACATATCATCTGAGACCATATACATAAACCTTTTTTTCCTTTTAAAAATATGCATTGGGTCATACTAATCTTGTCCTGTGACATGTTTTTTCAACTCCTGTATTACTTGCATCGTGGTTAGATTTTTTTCCTCATCGTCAGCAAGTTGATTATGCCCTATAGGAAGTACATTGGAAAACACTGACTTTACATTTTGGAATTAATGCATTAGTGAAGGAATGACAGAGTTCTTGCTTGTAGAAGAGGAATGCTGCTGATACTGGGAATGCAGTGGGCATGGTTTGGTAAAACATGGAATTGTCATTGCCAGACAACTGGTCATCCCTGCCAATGTCCTCCTCCTTCCCATTCATCAGCACCTCCACAGCCTCAATTCAGAAGAATGGAGATTACACAAAGGAGACATAGAAAAGAGATGTAGGAGAGGAAAGATCATTTTCCCTCCACCCTTCTGAGTTCTTTGGCAGAAACCCCTGTAATAAAAGATCAACAAGAGAAAAACAAACAGAAGTTTATTAAAATTGTATCCCTCATTATATACATGGGGGAAAGCCAGAAAAAAAATGAGTAACTCCCCAAGGTGACTTCAAATTGAGGGCTAAGTAACATTTTAATAGGGTAAAGGGAGGAGAGGTAGAACTTTTAAGAAAGGTGAATGGGCCCTGGGAAGAAATGGGAGGTACGATTGCGATAGGCAGAGAAGCAAAGTTCAGGGAAAGCCTCTCCCTGAATCTGCTGATTCTCAAGTGCCTACAGCTCAGAGTAATATACCAAAGTGGCATGTTTTGGGGTGGTGTGTTCGAACTCCTAGTCATATCTTGGGGTTGCCTATTCTGCTAACCCTGAGAGAAGGTGAGCCACAAACATCTGTTCAATCAGCAAATATGTTAACCCCATACTAAGTGACAGGCACTAGAAATAAAATGGGGAACATGACAGACTGTCCTCAGGCAGAGAAAGTCTACAATTGAGAGAAGAGAAGAGTAAGGCAAAGATGCAGAAGATAAAGAAAAAAGAATTCCAAAGGAGTGAGGAATTCCAGTAATGGCTACATCAGTACAGTGCTTGTGTTACTATACATTGTTTAAATCCCAGCCATCTGCTCCCACATCAAACCCGATTTCACTCCTCCCCCACATACTAGTACATGTATATCCCAATAATAATATGGTGATATGTTTTTCATGGTTTCCCACAGCTGATAATAAATACACTTGATTTAAACCAGTGGCGTGTAACCCAGATCTAAGTATAAATATAATGGAAGTCATATGTTTCTTTAGTGACAGTCTTACTAATTAAATAATTTGGCCTATTTTTTAGCCACATTGGATAGGTTTTTTTTTTTAAGTTGTTATGAATGTTGTTTATAGCAGCATCAATAAGCCAAGAATTCACATAGTTACTCAATCACACAGATTACTCATCATTGCCTGTTCATAACAGAATCCTAAAATGTTTAAGATTTCTGATGCAAATCAAAATCTCATCATCACTTGTCATTGCTAAATTAAATGACAGGATAATAACATTACATTAAAACCATTTTTCCCTTGATTGAGTACCTTTTTCAGAAGTGAACCTTGTAGATGTATATTTTTTTCATCAGTACTATAAATGCATTTAGAATCCGAGATAAAAATAGACTTGAAAAGGGGAGGACTGGAGTGGGATGTTTTCAAATTATTGATGAATCTCTTGAATCTCAAATAACCATATTTGACAGTGGCTTAGCTCAATTTGAGACTTTCAGAGCTACATAAAGGAGGTTCCATGCCGAACTTGGTCTTTATTTACACAATCATGCATTCCTGTCAATAGTCATATGGCATCCCACAGCAAACAGGCTGTCAGTGACCTGTAGGAACTGGCATTGTTTAGTTACTCTAATACGAAAAGATGCTGGATAGATCACAGTCTCTATTAGAAATGAACATGAATTTCTAATCTGCTAAAACAAAGTAGGTTCTCAGTTGACTTACCATGTAAACTTCTCTCTTGGCCTTTCTTTCCCGCCTAAAGCTAATTAACCTTTTTGGTCAGACCTACCACCTCTCCATCTGCTCCATCTGGCCCGTGGCCCGCTTCTTTGTGGCCAATCAGTCCTCATGCCACTGAGCCCGTCTTCTTCACTTGCCCCTCCACCCAGGACTCGTTTTCCATCTTAAAGTCTTCTGTCCTTCAAAGACTTGGTTTCCTCATATCTTCCTCCTATACTATTAGGAAAATCTTATACTGGAGCAAACCTTTTACTTCTACTTTTTGCCTCATTTAATACTACCTTAGGCAGTAATGTGTCAATAATAACCTATTAGTAAAGATCCTTAGTTCTTGAAGTTGATGAAGATGTAGACTGAAACAACATTGGCTAACAGTTGACAAATAGCTGAATCTGGGTGATGGGTATAGAAAAAAATCAACATACTATTTTCTCTAGTTTTATGTGTTTGGGTTTTTCTGTAGTAAAATATAAAACTAAACTTAGCTCTAATCCACCTTTTTTTTTTTTTAATAGATGCTCTCTTTTAGTCAGTGCATGAAATGGGTAATATAAAGGATGGATTAGGATGAAACCCTGAACTGCTCAAATACCCCACTCCTATCCCACGCTCGAGGAAACAAATCAGATTCTTTAGCGCCTGGCATTGCAGCTTCACTCTTCTCCCGAAGACCTGAGAGTTCCCCAAGAGGAAAGCAGGCTCCCCTGAACGGCCCTGATGCAGTCCAGATCCCAGGAGCTGTCATATGAAGTAGGGCCACAAAGTAGGGCCACGGTAGCACAGGGCCGCAGGGCAGAGGAATCCTATCAGGCAGACACAGTCTCAAAAGTGATGCGAACTACTGAAGGCTGTCTGGAAGGAGAGGGTCTCTCCCTGCCCGGCTTCTGCCTGCGGGTCTGACTGCTCAGAGCTCCACCACACAACCTTGCCTCTCTCTCCTGAAGAACTCAAAATGGATTGCAGTTACCAATGTGTGTGTGTTTTGTTTTTTTCTTCTCCTTTTCAATTATGACAGCCTTACTCCTCGTTTGCCAAAAACCGGAGAGACCATCCATGGACATAAGTTTTTTATTGGCTTTGGAGGGAAAGGTGCCAACCAGTGTGTCCAAGCTGCCAGGCTTGGAGCAAAGACGGCCATGGTGTGCAAGGTAAGTGTCAAGTCCAGTGGACAGTACTCTAACGGCAAGAATATGGTTTTGAGGTCTGAGTTCACTGGTTTTATTTTTTTTTTAACTATTTTAAAAGGAACAATTCAGTGGCATTTAGTAGAATCAGTGTTATTCAACCACCATATCGATCTAGTTCCAGAACATTTCCATCATTGCAAAAGAAAGCTCTTTACATTAAGCATTCGCTCCCCATTTCATCCTCGCCGGGGCCCCTGGCAACCACCAATCTACATCGTGTCTCTATGGGTTTATCTATTTCTGACGATTTCCTATAAATGGAATCATGTGAAATGTGACATTATGTGTCTGGCTTATTTCACTTAGCATAATGTTTTTAGTGTTCATCTACCTTATAGCAAGTATCAGTACTCCATTCCTTCTGTGGCTGAATAGTACTCCATTGCCTATGCCACAATTTGTGTATCCATTTATCTGTATATATCTTTATATATATATATATATATATATATATATATATATATATATATATATATATATGTGTGTGTGTGTGTGTGTGTGTATACATATATATATTAAATAAGATTTTTAAAATTGATTTCAGAGAGAAAGGGAGAGAAAGGGGAGAAAGGGTTAGAAATATCAATGATGAGAATCATTGATGGCTGCCTCCTGCACACCCCCTACTGTGCCCTGACCAGGAATCAAGCCATGACCTCCTGATTCATATATGGATACTTAACCACTGAGCAATACCATCCAGCTGTTTTTAGCAGGTTTTACTGCAGCAACACACTTTTAGAAACTTGGTTTAATAACTGGTGATTTACTCATCTCTGGGTTGTTGTTTTTTTTTTTCCTCTGATGCTATATCTTGGATCAGAAAGGAATATGGACATCACTGATCTTTAGGTGTAGTTCTGTCATCAGGTATTTAAAGGAAACTAAAATTCGTATTCCTATTTCCATCCACCCACTGAAATTATCTCAAAAGTAAATCAAGCCCTGGCTGGTTTGGCTCAGTAGATGGAGTGTCTGCCTGCGGACTGAAGGGTCCCAGGTTCAATTCCGGTCGGGGGCATTTGCCTTGATTGCGGACACATACCCAGTGGGGGTGAGGGAGGTGTAGGAGGCAGCTGATTGATGTTTCTCTCTCATCAATGTTTCTGGCACTCTGTCCCTGTCCCTTCCTCTCTGTGAAATAGTCAATAAAACATTTTTTTTAAGTAAATCAAACAGAATTGACTACCAAAGGTTCAACTTTTGCATCTTTAATGAAATTTTATGATGCTATCATTTCTGGTATAACAGGAAAGCTATTCTGGGTCTGCATAGTAGAGGATAAGAAAAATATGAGAAATTTAAAAGAATGAGCTCTCTGCTGTGCACTGGGCAGATTTTACCAAAATGTCTCTGAAATATCACTTCCCATTGCATATAGCACTTCCTTCTCCGAGGGAGTCTTTAAATGATGCATAAGCTATACAATTATCACTTCGTCTTCTAATGAACTGTAGCTTTGTTTCTAATTTATGATTAACATGAAATAATTCTCATCTGGCTGTTTGGGCAAAACCAGCTCATGAAACACAAGAAACCCTCATTTGCTAAGGTTGAGCTCTTAATAGATTTAAAATATCAATTAATCAGCAATTAATTATTGATGACCAATATTATATGCTAGGAATTATGGGGCTTAGAGAGGGAGCCAATTAAAAATGTTGTGCTTGATCCATCCTCTGCTTGATTAGAAATGAAGGGTTTGGGGAGTAATAAGATGATGCTGACTTAATGGGCTTGGAAACTGGAAAGAGGATGTCATTTCCAGGCTGGGAAAATCTAGAGAGAGAATTAGAGTTGGAACAAGGTACTGAAAATAGCTGTGGGGAGAGAGGAGCTCCCTAGAGCTGGAGCTGTTAAAAGAGCGAGATTAGAAAGCCCCCTCTTGCAAATTTTTATAAAAGCTACTCATTTAGCCATTAAAGTCAAAATTGGGTGTCCTCTAGGATCTCATCCACTCAATGGTTTGGAGATTCGTTTTATTTTAGGTTAATTTGAGGCAAAGAGAGAAATGCAAAATAGAAATATTTGAATTGTGGAACTGACCTTGGGAAATGAATGGTGAAACCACAGAAGTGGGTCTGAGGGGAACAGTAGGCAGAAGGCTGTGTTTGGGGAAATGTTTTCTTTAGGAGGTTGGTTAAAGCAAAGGTGCTGATTATTTTATTCTGGCCTGTGAATGATGGTTTATATTAGTCCCTGCCCAGTTTTTGAAAGTCCTTTACATCTAACACATCCTTGACTTAGTCATCTAGTGTTTAGCTCTATGGTGGAATTTACCTGGGGATCTGTACAGAGAGGTTAGCTAAAATCTGTACGGGATTACTTTGCTTCAACAACCTGAGATATTTAGATATGGATTTATTTAAGATTAATCTAATTGCATAATATTCTTAGACTTCTTTTCCACCACCACCACCCCAAAAAATATTTTTATTTTAGAGAGGAAGGGAGATGGAGAGAGAGAGAGAAAGAAACACCAATGATGAGAGAGAATCATTGGCTCACTGCCTCCTACACACCCCTCCCTGGGGATCAAGCCCCCAACTTGGGCATGTGCCCCTGACCAGAATCAAACCTGGGACCCTTCAGTCTTCAGGCCAATACTCTATCCACTGAACCAAACCAGCTAGGGCTATGCTTAGACTTCTTAACAAAAAAATAAAATCTCTTTTCTAGTATTATAGAAGTTATTGTTATCCATTAATCATGATATTTCTTCCCATTGTGAAATATATTTTAATTAAGCAAATTAGCCAAACTGTTTTATGGCAGTTTTTTAAAGATAAAAATTCCAAGTAGAACCCAAAATCATTAAATTACTCAAGATAAAATTGAACAGATGGAACAAAAGAAAAACAGAAATTTTTGTATGGATTTCTTAGCAACATTAACTTACCTAGCAAAAAATAAAAAATAAAATTCAAGTAAGACTGTCCCATGGCATGTGCAAAACATCTTACTTTGAGCTAAGGAGAAATACTTGTCAAGATACTGTGGCAATGCCGAGGCCGGTTTAGCTCAATGGATAGAGCGTTGGCTTGGGGACTGAAAGGTCCCAGGTTCTATTCCGGTCAAGGGCATGTACCTTGGTTGCGGGCATATCCCCAGAAGGGGGTGTGCAAGAGGCAGCTGATCGATGACTCTCTCTCATCGATGTTTCTAACTCTCTATCTCCCTCCCTTCCTCTCTGTACAAAATCAATAAAAAATATATTTTTAAAAAAAAAATACTGTGGCAAGAACTATCAAGTAGGAGGAGACCATCAATATGTGTACAGTGGAATGTGTAAAATGACTTGTGTAGTCAGTATTTAACTGAGTCATGGGCCAAGGCAACAGGCCAAGGGTAATTAAAGATACTTTGAGATTAAAATCCAGGAAAATGAAAGTCCTCTTGGCAGGGTAAAGAACCTGCTAGGACACCCTTCCTCGGGCTTCACCTGATTTACATAAGTGTTTCTCTTCCTCCCTTCCATTGAAGCCAAACGTTAGAAAGGAGGAAGATATCTCTAAACATCAAAACCTGGCATCTCAGGAGGCCAAAGGTAGAATAAAAAGCTAAAGAAGCAGTGGCCCAGCATAAACCCAGAGACCCTGCTTCCTGTGCAGGTGGAAGGAAGCCACAGCAGGCATGAGCCCACGCAGCCCAGCTGGGGAGTCAGCAAGCAAGGACCTTCAAGAAATTACCTGGTTTTGCTTCCTTCAAACATGAGACTCGACTCTCTAATACATGTACTGTTTTCCATTCAGAATGGAAATGCCAGCAATGAAGTTCTGGGACAGAGGCATTACGTTAGACCAATGCTGCCTATTCACAGACTGCAGACTGTCACTGGACTGGACAGTATAGAAACTCAGCGTAAACATAAATATTTAGAGCAATTTGATGGAGTAGCTTTATAGCTGGTGAATAGAACATAAATAATATATAAATTAGGCCTTGTATTTTGTATGACTTTGTTTCATTTCATTGTTACTATATTTTGCAAAATTATTAGTCTGCATAGATTAAAAATGAGAAAACAAACTGAGGCTTCACCAGTCAGCATGGAAAGCAGTGTATTTGAGTTCCCATCATCTTAATCAGAAATTTCCTTCTATGTTAAGATTATAGTGGGACAATCAACTAATCATGCACTGAGATTTTAATTTTCAAATATCAAAAATTAGGCACCAGCCTTTCCAGGTAACATACAATGAAGTGCAATCTGCCCTTTCCTGACATCATTTGAAAGACCACTGGCTAACTATAGTTGGCTACATCGATGGGGACCCTAACCAAATAAATAAAATATGCCTCATTTTAAAAGAATTGAAGAAATCATTGGATTATCACAAACCCATTCCCATGCTCAGATAAACTGGCCTGATAATGGTAATGTTAACGTTAACTCTGTATATTAAAGGCCATTATTAAGGTAAACACCGTTTATCTGGGATTTAAACAACCAGCAAGCTTAAAAAACTGGGATTTTATGTATTTTTATTTCATCTTTTATGATAAAGCCACAAATGGCAGGTTAAAAGTTAATATGAGCAGCTGATGCGTTTTGTTTCACGACAGCAAATCCAGCTTAATCTCCTAAACCTGCTGCTCATTTTGACCTTCAGCCACTGAAAGTCACAAAATGTCTTGAATCATAGCCTAGTTTCAGTATTGATTATATTTCCCCATAGCCTAATTTTGAAAATCAGTAACCTGTTCTAATATATGTGATAACATTTTTAGCAGAATATTTAATTTCATATAACCTCAGGTAAGAAATCTTGGTCCTCGGTGTTTTGACATCAGTTATACTAGTATGTTGATGGGTGGAATTGCTCGATGTTTTCCACCATTCAAGGATTCCAAACAGCCCATTCCTCCACCATCTTGAAATGCAGGTGTTTATTATGATAGTGCTAACTGAAGTTCCCCTCCTCAGTGGTAGGCCATTGTTCTGGACCAGTGTTCGGCAAACTCATTAGTCAACAGAGCCAAATATCAACAGTACAACGATTGAAATGTCTTTGGAGGGCGAAATTTTTTAAACTTATTCTTCTAACACCACTTCTTCAAAATAGATTCGCCAAGGCCGTGGTATTTTGTGGAAGAGCCACACTCAAGGGGCCAAAGAGCCGCATGAAGCTCACGAGCTGCAGTTTGCCGACCACGGTTCTGGGCCATAGAAGCCACTGACTGGGTCTCTCTCGATGCAAAGAGAACCTTCCCCATGGAGGCAGAAGAAGCCTGGGCCACGTCAAAATGAGAGTAGTCAGCAAACACAAGCCAAGGAAATCTCTCGGGCTTCACCATACCTTGATCCCAATGTTGGACCCTGATGGGCTCCTTGCCCCCATCAGATTCTGCAGGTCACACTTCTCCGGGCTCCCACTTAGGGGACTTACAAACCTACTAGCAGGCAGGACTGTGCTCTCTTCTTCGGTGCACACAAGCCTTTACAGACACATCCCACCTGAATTCTGCAATCACGGTCCAATCCTTGACTGGAGTTCACACATGGTAATCACCTGGGAAGCATGCCGGTCTCGCCGGCAGAGGCCTGATTGAATCGGTCTGGGATGTTCTAGAAACCTGAGCATCAGGATGTTTACAAGCTTCTCAGGAGATACTGATGAGCAGCTAAGACTGAGAATTATTGGTTTCCTTCCTGCCAAAGGTAACTCACACCAACCAGTCCCACCCTACAGCCTGGCTCAGATGGAACAATTTGTCACAAAACGTAGTAAAGAATTTTAATTAGCTTGATAACAGCATAACTGAAATTAGATTCCAGACTTCCATGTGCACCATTCTGCCTCATGGTCAAGATACTTCAAGTTTTCATTTCAACTTGATAGTCAACGTGTGACCAGGAAAACAGGGAAGCCTTCAAAGATACCCCATGAAGGTCCCTTTATAATAGTCTTTATGCTGTCAAAGTTCTTTCATTCGTATCTTGTGTGAACTCCACAGAAAGAGCTGAAGCATCAGGGAGAACAAGATGGACACGTAAGTAGTTTATAAGACTGGGTCCAAGCAGCAGGAGTTCCTTCCCCCAAGAGAAGCAGCATGATCATGATCGTGATGGTGATGATGGCGGCACCAAGCCCAAAACTGGAATTTTATGTACTTTTCTTTCATCTTTTATACTAATCATTTACAGCTTTAAATGTACTTTTTTGCATATTACTCTACTTTATCTTCACAGCAAACTTGTTGTGGCTTTCCAGATAAGAACACGGAGCCTACAGAGAATTAAAGCGGTTCACCCAAAACCACACAGCTAGCATGAGGGGCTTCCATGACACAAAGGAAATACTGTCTTGCGTTCTTAGTTTTTTTTGTCACTTCTTTCACTTTGTAATGACCTAGGTGATGTACAGTTAATGGAGCTTCAGTTGACTTCTCTTAATCCTCAGCAATCTTGTTATTGTTCCATTATTTTTTAGTTACCAGACTTTTATTTTTGGCAGGAGAATATCAAAGAAGGCAAAAAACACAGTATTTTGTCCCATGTCTCATATAGACTTTAGAAGACCAGCCAACAGACCTGCCAGGAACTCGCCATTAGAATAAAGCTGGAACCATAACCATCACTCAGGGATGTAGCCAATCAGACGGTGCCCTGAGCAGGAAGAAAACAGGCAGCTGCTGCAGCCTCTAAAATACAACTGCAGCAAGTCTGCAAAATGCAACTACTTGAGCGTGAAATCCTTCCCAGTTATGCTTTCGATGCTCATGCTGTCCCACCTGGTCTGTCTTATTTCCCTCCAATATTATCAGTTTCTTGAGGGCAAAGAAAGAATTTCTCCTAACCCCTGCACTTGCTACTGTTTATATCATCACCACCATTTATTACCTGCCCTTGACAATCACCTTCAACAGATTCTTCCCATAGAAAACTGATAGGAAAGGGAAGAGAAATGTCTTTGCTTTAGTTTGTATCCCCAAATGCCTAGGGATGTCCTTTTCATAACCCCAGAACATTCTTATGATAATACTTTCCCAACTATATAATACCCTGATTGTCCATGGGAAAGAGTTAAATAATGTGTAAAAAAAAAAAAGATGAGAGAACTTGGCTCAGCTCTCAAGAGTCTTATGGTAAGAATCTTTGACCTAGCAACTAGGATGCTTTAGCGCTTACTTGCCAGACAAGTGAACAGCCAGCCTTCCAGGAAGGAAACTTTTGGTAGATGGCCCCTTCCACAAGGAACTCGCCCACAGTAACACTGTGGTATAAAGACAGAGGTTCTGCTACGAAGAAGTGATTACACATTGTTTGAGGTTACTGCCTAATCAGCACTTGAGCCAGAAAAGGAGCACAAGGAAAGGTGTTCTTTTGCAAAATAAGCTATCAAAAGTGGCATTTAAATCAGGGGTCAGCCGGGACCGGTTTGGCTCAGTGGATAGAGTGTCGGCCTGTGGACTGAAAGGTTTGATTCCGGTTGAGGGCATGTACCTTGGTTGCGGGCACATCCCCAGTAGGGGGTGTGCAAGAGGCAGCTGATCGATGATTCTCATCCATGTTTCTAACTCTCTATCCTTCTCTCTTCCTTTCTGTGAAAATCAATAAAATATATATTTTTTTAAATCAGGGGTCAGCAAACATGATCCATGGGGCAAATCTTGCCCACTACATATTTTTGTAAATTAAGTTTTATTGGGATACAGCCACATCCATTTGTTGACATATTATCTTTGGCCGCCAACTCTACAATGGCAGGGGTAATTGTTGTATAAGAGGCAATATAGCCCACAAAGTCTAAAATGTTACCTATTTGAAAATAAATAATGAATGAATAGAATATTACCTATTTAGTCCTTCACAGTAAAAAGTAGTGGCTAGGGAAGGGGAGGGGAAAAAAAAAAAAAGTAGTGGCTAATCTCTGATCTAGACGGTCCACATGCTCACCAGGAAATTTTATCATCACTCATTGCAGATCTTGTAATATCTCAAGTAAATATCTACGTTTCTTTCTGTTGATATATCCAGAGAGGAACAATTTTTTGTGGGCAAGCAGAGTACACCAGGAGGGGCTGAGACCTGGACAGAGACATACTCCCTTGCTGTAGTGCTCACCTGCAGGACAGGAAAAAAAAGTATAGTTCAGGAGTGATTCCAAATAGATGACACTTTGGAAAAGATAAAACGATAGAGATAGTGAAAAATGTCAGTGGTTGCCCAGGGTTAGGGGTAGACAGTGATGAGCAGACAGAGCAGAGAGGAGTTTTAGGGCAGTGTAGCCAGTCTGTATGAGAATATAATCTCAGATACTCGTCTATACATCTGCCAAAACCCATAGAATGTACAACATCAGAGGGAACCCTAAAATAAACTATGGAGTTTAGAGAGTTTGGTTGATGTGACAACATAGGTTCATTGATTTTACAACTGTGCCCTCCTGATCACATTGCCTATGAGTGAGCAAGGAATGCATGTCTGAAGGGAAAACTGAAGTATTACCAGAATGGATGCAAGGATGCAAAAACAAAGAAATTCCACTCTACCAAGGTAGCAAGGGCTTTTTAAATTCCCTGTGCTCCAAGTCAGGGTCTGGGGAGAAGATAAGATTCTAAGGCACCAGGCAAGTCATTATAAAGATCCTGTCATTTATAGTGAAGTATGAACAACTGAGATTCTTCAAAAATACTGAGGATAGCCCTAACTGGTTTAGCCCAGTGGATAGAGTGCCGGCCTGTGGACTGAAAGGTCCCAGGTTCAATTCTGGTCAAGGACATGTAACTTGGTTGTGGGCATATCCCCAGTAGGGGGTGTGCAAGAGTCAGCTGATTGATGTTTCTAACTTTCTATCCCTCTCCCTCTCTGTAAAAAAAATCAATAAAATATATTTTTAAAATACTGAGGATAGTTGATGGTGGACAGCTCTGTCTCAGTGGGAATTTCCACATGGTGAGATCAAAATGAGAGTGAACTTATAGAACTGGTAAGCATCATTAAAATGCTTCACATTTTGCCAAAACCAGATTGGCTCAATGGATAGAGTGTCGGCTTGGGAACTGAAAGATCTCCGGTTCGATTCCGGTCAAGGGCATGTACCTTGGTTGCAGGCACATCCCCAGTAGGGGATGTACAGGAGGCAGCTGGTCGATGTTTCTCTCTCATCAATGTTTCTAGCCCTCTATCCCTCTCCCTTCCTCTCTGTAAGAAATCAATAAAATATATATATTTTTTTTTAAATGCTTCACATAAAAGTGGAACATTAGTATATAACAATTCTTTGGGCTGAAACCAAGTCTAGCAACGTACATTAAGAAGATTAATTAGTTAATGTTTATAAAGCACTGTGCAGATATGCCCTTTCAAAATGCTAAGTATTCTAAAAACTACATTGTAGCATTTTACTAAATGCAAAAGATCTAATGTTCATTATCTCTTTGGTACAGGTTGGCAAAGATTCTTTTGGCAATGATTACATAGAAAACTTTAAGCAGAATGATATTTCTACAGGTAAAATTTAATCTTTTTTAAGATTGGTTTTTATAACTTTCTTGTGTGATCTGATTATAAGAAAAGCTGAATATAGAATAGATTAGATCCTCCCCTGGTGGCCAGGGAATTTGTATGCATAGCTTTGTCTAGTCTTGCTTAAATAGCCTATGGTTAATTCTTTCATGTTCATTCCTCCAGATGGGACTAAGACAACAGGTTACAAACCTTCAGTTCATGGAAATGTTTCAAAAGCACGTGATGAGAGAAAACAGGTGCTACATTCACAAAAGATATTTTAAGAAAAATCATTAAGTATCATAGCTGGAAACAATCTTAGAAATCATTGAGATCTGATACTATTTATAATAATAAAAGCATAATATTCTAATTAGACCAGACATTCTTCTGGACCACCTTCCTGATGACGCCAGGGCTATGAGGGAAGCCCGGATCCCGGGTGCCACAGAGAAGCCAGTGCAGGCAGCAGGGGAAGGAAGGACTACTCTTGCACGAATTTCGTGCATTGGGCCTCTAGTTGTTTCATAAAAGAGAACACCAAAGGCTAGAGAGGTTATGAATTTGTCCAAGAGTGCAGCTAGTTGGAGCTACAGCCAGGACCAGAATGCAGGTCTTTGGTCTCAGTTCAAGGCTCTTTGCTGCTGCCAAAGACTGGTTGGTCAACATCACCATTTACATGCCAGGCCATAATTCTTGATGAGATGCAAAGTTTATGAGAATGAAGAAAAACAAACAGGTTGATTTTATAGGTTTGACCTTTAGTCTTTCACTCAACTTTGTCATTTCTTTCACTAAAGAAATATGGTAATACGGGAAAATGCATATGTATACAACTATGAATAATTTGGGGCAATTGGAAGTGGGTGGTTTGTTGGATGTTAATAATGTAAAAAAAAAAGTACAACTAAGTATAAAAACTTGTATTTTCCTCATTGTATAGGTGATGAGAATAAATTAGCACTAATTACTTATTTCTTTTTTATCATTCCAGATGGTTAAAAAAGTTAAAAAGTTTTCTAAGGATTAATGGTACATTGAAATTGTTAAAATAAATTATCCAATCTGGGCTGTGTATATATGATTGTAATTTTTTTGCCTTTAGAATTTACATATCAAACTAAAGATGCTGCTACAGGAACTGCTTCTATAATTGTCAATAAAGAAGGTATGTGTTTTGCATATTGAAGTATTATTTCATAAAACAGTGCATTTCCTGAACTAGGAAATATACGTTTTTATCCTAATCTTATGGCTTTCTTACCATACCTACCAGGTGTACAGCATGGTCTTTCCAGCCTAAACATAAATATTTCCCTTACTTATACATCCCAGGCTGTTCGTTCAAATATAAAATGTCCATCCAATACATATAAAGCATTAAAGTTGCCTCAAAATAATCTTTATATCCTGTAACACCCGTTACCCTTCATGTGAACTCAGAATTGACATTTGTCTCTAAAAGCAGTAAGTATTCATCTGTCATTTCAGTTACACCAGGTAAATAAATGTAAATAGATAGGTGCAAAAGAAAGTTGATGAATCATATTTATAGAATATTTACTGTGCAAATGGCAGCAACTAATTACTTCTAACATGTCGTTAGTGTTCAATTTTGCCTGCTCTTTAAACAGCAATCAAATCTCAAAATTCTATATATACAACTGTCTCTGTCACAGGCTTTGCAATAGCGAGACATTTGTCTTTGAGAAGAGTATTATAATTTCCCTTTGCCCTCAAGTAAAGTTTTTAAGATTTCTGCAACTGTTTTTAGTATAAAAACACCACCATACAATTTTAAAAATCAGAATTAATATACAGAATGGCCAAGCATTTTATGGGGTACTTACGACAGAACCCAGAGCATTATGGGCATCTGCCTGCCTTGTGTTAGCTTAGGGTTTGTCACAATATGTTTTTAATTTATAACACAGTTTCACAAGATCGTTCCTCACAGAAGACATGATATTGTCACCTTTAGTGACCCCAGAGTTGCAGTGTCCCGCTTAAAGACAGTCGATAAAAGTTTTCCTTCTAACAATAGTCTGTGTTCATTGCTTTAAGCCACCTCCTAAGTGTTACTGCTGCCAACAGCAGCTCATTCCCTGCCTTACACCTCTTTTTTTGTGTTCTAGGGATATCTTTGAGTTATGTTTCTTCCTTTTCTGGGTACAAAATACTGCATTTTTGTGCAAAGATGTAATTTAATATTTTGTATCGAGTGTCTATTATGGCAGACTTTGTCTGTCTGTAGTGTACGGCAATGCCCTTAAGAGTATAGGTGGTGCCCAGCTGGCATGGCGTGGCATAGTTGAACATCAACCTAGGAACCAGGAGGTCGCAGCTCCATTTCTGGTCGGGGCATGTGCCGGAGTCGCTAGCTTGATCCCCATTTGGAGGCATGCAGCAGGCAGCTAATCAATGATTCTCTCTCATCATTGATGTTTCAATCTCTCTCTCCCTCTCCCTTCCTCTCTTAAATCAATAATAAAAAAAAAAAATTTTTTAAGAGTATAGGTGGTAGTAGAAGAGCTAATCCAAATCATCAGAGCAGCTTCTTTAAAGGAGTGAGTAGCAAGGTCAAGCAAAAGATTCCATTTTAACAAGTTAAAGTTGAGGCATGGATGAGCTAGCCACGTGGCAGTGCCCACCATACAGCTCATCAGCCACGGCCAGACCAGAAATGCAGATTCAGGAGTCAGCAACACAGAAGCAGCAGCTGACTCTAGCAGGAGTGAGGTCACTGAGGAGAAAGGGAAGGAGGTACGCTGTCTTTCAGTGTGTGGGTACTTTGAATTTTTCCAGTACCGAGACTGGGTTTACGCTGAGCCCATCCCCACTTTATTAAAGTCTCCTTGTGGCCAACAAACACATCTGTGGTAAGATGATAGGCTAGCATGTGTTCTGTGTTCAGAGGTAACGTTAGGTCATGTCTATACAAGAGCAGCCTGCGGCACCAGAAAAATGTTCCTGCAGTTCATCCCACTAGGTCAGTGCTGTCCAACAGAAACACAATGTAAGCTACATACGCAATTTTAAGTTTTCCATTAGCCACATTCAAAAAAGTAAACAGAAGCAGGTAAAACTCATCCTAATATGTTCCCTTAACCCAATATATCCAAAACATTATCCTTTCAACATGAAATAAAAAAGTTCTTAAAAATTAATTAGATATTTTACCTTTGTCAGCCCTTGAAATCTTCTGTGTGTTATACAATTAAAGCGAATCTCAATTTGAACTAATGCATTTTCAAGCGCTCAGTAGCTACTGTGGCTTGTGCTCCTGACCATCATATTGGGCAGCACAGCTCTTGAGAGTTCACCTAACAGTTGAAATGGACCACCTCACCTCCTGCCTTTATGTGGGCTTGTAGAGAATGGGTCCAAGTGATGGGTATCCAGGGTAGGGCAAAAGTCGGCTTAAACAATACAATACCTAATAAATAATAACACAAGAATAAACTCTGTTCCACATACTGACAACTCTAACCCTACTTTTGCCCCGCCCTGTATAAGATTCCTTAGTCCTGCTGCTATTTGATCTGGTACAGTCTAGGCCAAAATATCCTTCTCTCTACCTTAAGTCATTTAGTGCAATTTTTCATCTGCTAGATATTGTAAAATGTGGTTTGATTTAAAAATCACTTTTCAGAATACCATAGGGTCCACCTCAAACTCACTGTCTTTCAGTGTGTGGGTACTTTGAATTTTTCCAGTACCGAGATTGCGTTTACGGAGCATTAGTATTTTTTTAATTTTATTTTATTGTTTAAAGTATTACAAGTAGTAGCATTAGGCAAATTTCTTCCTATTCATACTCACCATTAGGACACTGTTATTTAGGATTAAGAATCTTTTGTTATTGTTGTTACTGTTGTGTATCCTCACCAGAGGATATTTTTCCATTGATTTTTAGAGAGAGTGGAAGGGAGGGGAAGAGACATAGAGAGAGAAACATTGATGTGAGAGAGACACATCCATTGGTTGCCTCCCACACATGCCTTGATCAGGGCTGGGGATCGAGCCTGCAACCAAGGTACATGCCCTTGAACAGAGTCAAACCTGGGGCCCTTTAGTCCTTGGCTGATAATCTATCTACTGAGCCAAACTGACTATGGCAGGATTAAGACTCTTTACCACAGCCCTAACTGGTTTAGCTCAGTGGATAGAGCGTTGGCCTGTGGACTGAAGGGTCCCAGGTTCGATTCCAGTCAGGGGCATGTACCTTGGTTGCAGGCACATCCCCAGTAGGAGGTGTGCAGGAGGCAGCTGATCGATGTTTCTCTCTCATCAATGTTTCTAACTCTCTATCCTTCTCCCTTCCTCTCCATAAAAAAAAAAAAAAAAAAAAAAAAAAAAACACAATAAAATATATTTTTTAAAGTCTTTTTGCCATATACATTCTACCAGTCATTTCTCATAAAAGAAAATTTGATGTATGTTATATATCATTTCTCAGCTAATAGTCTGTATATAAGAATACTGATAAAGGAAGTCATTTTTAGATTTTGCTCAAAATGATTAGAATATGAATCATGTTACATAAATATTATAAAATACATTAGGAATTTGAAAATTAACCTGAATGGCCTACAAATGTTAAAATTAATGCAACACATTTCATGTAATGACTTTGTAAGAGTGACTGTAACACTGCAGAGTATCATTGCTTGGCTTTCCCTTGTTTTAACATAATATTAATATAGAAATTCTTTGCAGGCCAGAATATCATCGTGATAGTGGCTGGAGCCAATTTACTGTTGAATACTGAAGACCTGAGAGAAGCATCCAATGCCATTAGCAGCGCCAAAGTCATGATCTGCCAGCTAGAAGTAACTCCAGCGACTTCTTTGGAAGCCCTAACAATGGCCCGCAGCAGTGGAGGTAATTTTACCTGCTTGTCATTCTATCTATAAAAGCTTTTATCTCTGTCTTAATTAAAGTTAACCTTTTAAGCAAAGCAATACTGTTCTTTAGTAAAATATTCTGTAGTAAAATTTTCCCATCTGTAAGATTCACTGTCTTCTTCTAATTCTTGATAACATTAGAAAACCTTACAAATAGTGTAAAAGTAATGTAACATTTCTGATATATCCCACAATATAAATCTTCAATCTAGTTAGCAGAAATAATACAGGTAGTAACCAAAATCTCTGAAGCAGCTCCCTGTCCAAGATACAGTCCAGGGAGGGGACCGATTCCCATTCTGAGAAGCAGAGGATAAGCTGTATGTCATGTGTAACCACTGCCCAGGTTCATCTTGATAAACTTCTCTAGGAATTAAAGGTTAGTGGCTTCCTCCTTTTGTAAAACTGTACCATCTTTGCTACAAACAACTACAGGTTATTTATATGTAATATTTGCTATGTTGTCAACATCCTTTAAGCAGCTCTTCTGTTTGATCTTTGATTTTGGAAATTTTTGAGAATGCAAAAGCAGGCAGAATTGTATAATGAAACCCATCACCCAGCTTTGACAATTATCAGCCCTTAGCTAATCTTAGTTCATCTGCTCTCCCTCCCTGGCCTCCTCTCTCACCTCCAGCAAGTAACAGACTTTTAGAAATCCAAATAGTTTCCTTCTGTTTGTTGCTTTTTTCTTATTGACCAGAAGGGAGAGCATCTTCTGAATTAGAAGCCTATAATTTATCTTTATGAGCTTTGTGGTCTTTGCAGAATTACCAGATTTTGCTGAGCTTTGTCTGTTAAATGCATATAAAAATACTACCCAAAAATAAAAAAATATATAAATAAAAATATTCCCCTACAGAATTGTTCTAAGAATGGAATAAAAGTAGTGAGTTCGGCCAAAACCGGTTTGGCTCAGTGGTAGAGCGTCGGTCTGCGAACTGAAAGGTCCCGGGTTCGATTCCGGTCAAGGGCATATACATTGGTTGTGGGCACATCCCCAGTAGGGGTTGTGCAAGAGGCAGCTGGTCGATGTTTCTCTCTCATCGACATTTCTAGCTCTCTAGCCCTCTCTCCTCCTCTCTGTAAAAAATCAATAAAATATATTAAAAAAAAAAAAGTAGTGAGTTCAGTAAATCTAAATTTTCTTCTCTCTTTCAATTAAAATTTGGATAATAGCCTGATCAGCACCATTTGGTAAAAATAAATAAATAAATAAATAAATAAATAAATACTAGCCATTCTTAAACAATGCTTCTTCTTCATATATGGTAATAGTTCTATAGACGTTAAGAATAGAGAGAAAGAACCACATTGGTTTTTCCAATAAAGCTTTCTTATCAAGTTACAATAAAAAAAGAAAAAGAACAGTAAGTGTGTGTTTGTGTGTGTGTGTGTGTGTGTGTGTGTGTGTGAGTGAGAGAGAGAGAGAGAGAGAGAGAGAGAGAGAGAGAGAGAGATTTCCCCCAAACATTTTTAAATGTTTGACCTGATTTAACAAATTTTTCTTATGGCAAAACAACATGCCATGGCAAAGTCTCACTGACATATAATGTGTTTTTAATGGACTCGAAGCTGCCAGGAAGAATTCTGAGCTAGAAGCTATTCAGTTACCTTTTCTCAGGCCCCAGATCAAGTGTGAGGCTGTGCTGAGCCTTCGCTGCAGGCACTCACTGCCTCAGGGGATGCAGACACAGCATGCCACTTCACTCACGCTCCTCTCTTTCCTGGTACAGATCGGAGCATATTCTCATGTCTCTTCTCTCTCTTTCCTACTACCTAATCTAGTTTCCTATTGTCTACCCAGCTTGTGGAGGAGAGAAGGGTAGGGTACCCCCATCAGAGGATCCAAACTTCCACAGGTGAGGCAGGCGTTATCCAGATGAGCAGGCAGCCTGACCTGGGGCCTTTTGGGTGGGGTCCGGAATGCTTCCTTCATCACCTGCCAGCAGTTCTTCCAGTTGAGGAGCTACAGGACCAGAAAGGGGGATAGGTAGTGGTGAGCCAAAGACCACGTAGCCTGCTTAACATTTTGCTGAAGAGCTAACATGCCTAAGTATTAATTGTGCATTATCTGATATAATAATACTGGAAGTAGTAAACCTTGCATTTGTATGTACTTGAGAGCTTATAAAGTGCTTTTGTAAAATTCATTCTCAGAAAAACCTTATGACAAAGATATGGCAGGTATTATTCTCCCAGACTGAAGACTGAGACTTGGGGAGGTTAAGTACTTTGCTCAGCCAAGGTCATACTTTTAGTCAGTGTAGAAGCCAGGACTCCAGACTCCAGGACCCAAGTTCTGTGTCCTAGACCACAGTTTACAGGAACTTCACAATCCCCTTGATTCTAGCAACTGAGCCTTTATGAAATGTATCTCCAGAAAAGTAAAATCTGTGAATTGTAACACTACCTGTCTTCTCCAGCCTCAAGTCACAGACAAGGGACGCTAGAGTGTTTTCAGCAATGTGTCTCCACCCTCCCCATTACATACACACATGCACACACATGCACACATGTCCTCTGTCCAGAAGGAGCACTGGTTTGGGAGTCATGAAGCACGGCTTTGGATTCAGAATCAATCACTTCGCAAATGGGGAACATCAGGAAGTCCGTCAATTCCTTGTTCTGGGCCTCTGTTTCTTCTGTGAAATGAGAACGAGGCTGAGAGCTCTCACAGGTCTTTAATGTGGCGATGTGTGGGTGGACTGATCGCAGAGCAGCAAAGCTTAAAGATCTGTGGTGAGCGCTGACTGTCCTCCCCATTGCCCCATGAGGCTGCGTATGTGCTAATCAGCATTATTCCATTCACAAGAGAGATGGCACAGCCATCATCATCTGTGAGTTTATCACAGCGCTTATCTGTACTACTTAACTAGTAATGAAGTTTGAATTCAACACACGGTATAACTAGATTATACATCAGCTGTTAACATACAGAGGAAGCCCTAGCCAGTTTGGCTCAGTGGATAGAGCATCGACCCGTGGACTGAAGGGTCACAGGTTCAATTCTAGCGAGGGACAGGTACCTCTGTCGCAGGCTCCATCCCTGGCCCTGGTCAGGGAGCATGTGGGAGACAACAGATCTGTCTCTCTCACATCCATGCTTTTCTCTCTGGGTCTCTCCCGCTCTCTTCCACTCTCTCTAAAAATCAAGGGGGAAATGTCCTCAGGTGAAGATTAGCAACAACAAAATACAGAGGAAGAAGGCCCCTCCATCTTTGTATAGATTCCCGGAACTCTCTTACTATCTTTGCCAAAACGAAAGCAGTTATTTTCAAGAGACAGCACTTCCACCCTAAAATATGCAGTGGTCGCCCTCTGGAGCCCCATCCTCTCCAGGCCACCATACTGTGAGGTGGCCGCACAGCGGAGCTGGTGCTGCAGCTGCTGGTGATGAAATTGTGCATGTTGGTTCTGGCCTTTATATCCATTTCAAAGCAAATGAAACATTACAGGAACAATTGTAAATAACTGAGATTGTAAAATCACCAAGATTAAATTCTAGGCGGGACACAAAATATCTCTTCATGCCACTTTAGTCCTTTCCCGTTTGGCAAAGAGAACTCCTTGGCTGGCTACCTGGACTTCCACAGTAACACAGTCTAGCACGTGGCCCACCCCGTGAGTGTTTTTGCTACTCAAGTCCCAGACAAGTCCTCCTCCAGTGAGAGGCTGTCAAGCCAGTGTCTGGGGTTCTCCAGCCTCCCACGGTCTCCCTGCGTAGGGTGCCTGTCTTCCTCTCCTTCTCTGAGCTAGTTATGAGATCCTTCCTCACTGCCCAGCTGCCACCCTCCGAGGTGACATCATGAAGAGCTTCTGCCTCATGTTCCTGTCTTGGCCCCTAAACAGCTTCCTCCCTAGGCCTCCCAGTTCCTCACTGACGTTCTTGTGGCAGCCACTGACTGACATGCTGTTAGGACAACCGGGGTTTTAGTCCCTCTGACGCTGTAATGAGTAATAATTACTGGTGTGCACCATCAGTCACCTCTGCAGCCCTGTTTCTCCACCAGACATCCTGTGTTCTCCATTTGGCATGGTTCCAGGATGACTTCGGGGGTTTTTCCATCTTATCTCTTATAAACTTTGATCTAGTATATCTTCTTTTTTTTTTTTTTCATCATGGTGAAGCATGATGATGCTTATTTATGGTAGCATGAGCTAAAGAGAGGCCTTTTTTTATGGCATTTTCGGTTTTCCCCTCAATTTAGTTACTAGCAGACTCTAAGTCTATATAGCCACTTAGAATTGGTAAGAATATTTTCCCTTAGTAAAATACAACCAAATAAGATTGGATTGATTTTTATACTATACTAGATGCCTGAAGCACAAAGATTCGCACAAAAATAGGCTTTCCTTCCCCCGGCTGCCACCAATGCCTTCGCTCTGGAGCCACTTTTCTGCCTTCCCACACTGCCCAGAGGCCTGGAACAACTGTGTGGTGCAGAACGCCTGTGTCATCACCATGGCAATGACATAAGCATCCTGCTGTACCCCTAGCCACTTGGCGCCTGCATATGCAAATTAACTTGCCATCTTTGTTGGGCTAATTTGAATATTCACTGCTGATTGGCTGGTGGGCATCACAAAGGTATGGTCAAGTAGCATATTACTCTTTTATTAGGTAGATTTGTGGTCAAATTAAATTATAGAATTCCTTACTCCTACAATTATTGCTTAAAAGCCAATATAATTTTTTAAATGTGTTTTGTGGGAAATTTTAAATATATACAGATATATAGAGAATATGGTAAATCTACATATACTATCATTTAGCTTCAACAGTTATCAGCACTTGACCAATCTTGTTTCATCTATACCCTAACTCTCCACCCCATTGCAACCTTGGACTGTCTTGAAGCCAAACCCAGACATGATATTATTTCATTCACAGTGTACCTATTTTTTATGTAAGATATTATTTGTTTTAAGAATGATGTGTTTGCCAAAACCGGTTTGGCTCAATGGATAGAGCATCGGCCTGGGGACTGAAAGGTCCCAGGTTCGATTCCGGTCAGGGGCATGTACCTTGGTTGCAGGCATATCCCCAGTAGGGGTGTGCAGGAGGCAGCTGGTCGATGACTCTCTCTCATCGATGTTTCTAACTCTCTATCTCTCTCCCTTCCTCTCTGTACAAAATCAATAAAATATATTTTAAAAGAAAAAAAAAGAATGATGTGTTTGCATGGCAAACAGTGGGTAATCTGGTCAGATTTTTTCCCATTAGCCTTTTGTAATTAATCATATATTAGTTTAATAAGTAATCTCTCAAGACTTTTTTCTCATCTGTGTAAGTGTATGAATATAAATACACATATAGTTATATTTTATTTGTTTTGTCAAAAATAAAGAGGGGTATCATACTCGAATTTATTACAAAACTGCCTTCTTAACTTGTAAATTATAGAAATCTTTCTGTGACAGAGACCTGCTTCATTCTTTTTAATAGCAGCAGAGCATTTCATTGGATACATATGTCATAATTTTTTTAGCCAATCCTCTCTGCTGGATACTTGGGTTTCTTTTGTTTTTCTGTTACAAACAGAGCGGAATGAACTTCACTGCAGTGGATGCCTGTGTGTTTCCATAGGAGAGCATTAGAAAAGGAATTTCTGGATCGGGGATCTTTTGAGATAAAATGGAACTTTTATAAAAATGGCTTTCCCCTGTTGTTCCATATTGGTAGTTTTCTCTAATTTGTGCTCAAATGCTGCTGCGTGCAGATTTGAAGATCATGTAGGTGAGCAATGGTGGCTCAAAGTAGTGCTTAAGGAAAATAGGGAACAATATATTTGTTCTGAAAACCGAAAAAGTAAATGGGTGTGTAGAACCCTGAGCAATGAGTGTCTTTATGCATAACTGGCATCGCTAAAACCTCGCAAAAGCAGGAAAACCAATGAGAGAGATTGTTGCCAGGCTAAAACTCCAACAGAAGGCAGAAGAGATGGGTGGACAGGCGGGGGTGTCGGGCTGTGCGTAAAGGACAATATAATAACAGTAATAATCCCTTACATTTGCACACTTAACAGTTTACACAGGACTTTTATATCCATTTCTAATTTAAGCTACACAATAACCCGGAGCAGCCAAAAATATGCTATAGAATTCCCCATGGGTGGACATTCTAAAGTAATGAAAGTGTGGGAATAGCATTATCTGGAAGACACTGGACAAGGTCCACGGACTGAACCAAAGTGTTAAGACTAAAGAAGTTGCAGAAGCAGACTCTAGCCTCACCACGCAGAAGTGGCTGACAGTTTCTTTTAGCCGCATGCTGTTAAGCATCTCCCCAAGAATGGGGAATGGATGGGTGCCAAGACAGCTACAGAAGAGCCACTTGGAGAACTTGTCCCTGTGCACACCCCCTGAGCCCATCCCGAAAGATTCTGACTCAGTGGCTTTGAGATGGAACCCAGAAGTCATGCATTTATTAAGTTCTCCTAGTGATGCTGACGTGCAGCCACGTGTGTGAACCATTGTTCTAGAGGAGTCTCGGAGGATTTTAGTGTATGGGTCCATGGTAAATTGGGGTTACTAAACCCATAAGTCAGTGGACATGGTAGAGGAAAAGAAGGCCAACCAATCTGGCCAGGTAATCTGGTGGGCGAGAGGGTTTGGCAAGGGAGGAGCTTCCTTTGGGTATAATTTCTAAAGACTTTCAAAAAATACAAAGTTCCACACCAAATGCTGTTATAAAATGAGGTAGGAGTGGGATAGAGGACGTCAATGGGGGGGGGGGGGGGGGAGGCATCTGTAATACTTTCAACAAAAATGAATTTAAAGATAAATGATGATAGATAGATGATAGATAGATAGATAGATAGATAGATAGATAGATAGATAATAGAGAATTGTAATTGGGGGCTGTATTGCTATGGACAGTTCTGGCCTAGAGAGGCAACTGTTTTAGAGATGATCAAACCCTCGACGTAAAGCTGGAGGAGCCCTGGTAGGGATCCAGTTTACTCAAGGGCCAGTGATGACCCGAGGCTGTGACCTCATCTCTCCGAGGCTCGCTTTCCTCCTCTGGAAAACCTAAGAGCTGTGCCATTCCCATTCATCCTCCTCCTGAAGTCTCCCAGCCTGAGCTAACTCCCAGCCTCTGATTGACTTTCTCCTTTCCCAGTTTCCTTTGTTCTTAGATTGCTCACAGGAATGTAAGCTTTTGTGTAAGTGTGTGTGTTTGCATGAATAATTCTGATATATTTGGAAGACGTACATAGGTATCCAAAATATACATATGTACATAAGCTTCCTACTTACTAGTCTCACCAGGAAAATTCCCAGCTTTCATTGTTTCTTTTCTATCATCTCTTTTTTTCTTTCCTGGAAAATGGATTTATGAACTAGACTAGCAACTGAGTATTTAATGAACCCACAAAAATGTTCACCAGCCTGAATGTTCATGTGCATGTCCTTTCACGTCATGTTTAAAATCCTCTCTAATCCTCCTGTCGCCCTTTGCCATAACTTTGTAATCACCTCGGTTGTAAACATTGATGCTTACCCTTGACGCTGAAGTGTTGTAAAGTGAAAAATAGAGCAAAAGAGATACTAGCAAACCAAAGAAGTTACATACATATATATAGAGCCCATAAACATGGGCAATAGAGTAGTGAAGACCTAGGAGGGAAAGAGAGCGGGAGAGGTTCTGGAAGGGAGGGGGGAAGAGGGGAAATGGAAATTATCTATAACATTATCAACAATAAAAAATATATTTTTGAAAATAAATTTTTTTAAGTAGAGCAAATGGAAATAAAGAGTATGTACTAGGCTATGATGGGGACTGAGGTTCCTTATAACTAGCTGGATTTTTCATCTAAAGAGGAAATGGTTGTAGTTGGGGATTTCCCTTATAGAGTGTCTGTAAATGCGGCACATTAAAACGATAACTACTGAACCCCTCTTCCGCTCCTTTGTAGTGAAAACATTGTTCAACCCAGCTCCCGCCACTGCTGACCTGGACCCCCGCTTCTACACCCTCTCAGATGTGTTCTGCTGCAATGAAACGGAGGTAAGGATAGGCAGTGTGCGCATTCCAGGAGAAACCAAAGACTTTTGTGCTAGTGAATGAAGCAAAAAAGCAGGACTAACCACATCAATTTGATCGCATGTGAATTGGGCCCGGTGAAAACAGCCTTTTCAGTTGATGGGTGAGAAGAAAGGAAATCAGTGAGTCCTGTATGATGAGGTGGGGTAGGAGAGAAGTCTCCGAATCATCCCCTTAATCTGACGCTGATCAAACCTCAGCTGTCCTCGCACTATTAGTGTTTTGTCTTCCTTGTTAATTCCATATTCTGTGGACTAATTAGTATTAGAGTTGCCTGATTTAGCAAATAAAAATATAGGATGCCCGGTTAAGTTTGAGTTTCAGAGAAGCAACAAGTAATATACGAAGTGTACTTACACTTTAAAATGATTTGTTGTTTATCTGAAATTCAAACTTAACTGGTGTCTAGCAACCCTAACAACATATAACCCCTGGTGCGTTTGCTGCATTCTATTGTGAACATCTTGTGACTGCACTGGTGGACAGACAGGTTTCCATCGATGCCATGGGAAGACCTTGGGGCCATTCCATTAGGGGAGCACCCTCTCAGTACAGCTGAGGGTCATAACTTACAGTTCTGCAATAAATATCTATCAATATATTCACTTTGTGCCACTCATTCTAAAGCGTTTTAGGAAGATAATTTTAATATTTCTACCTTTCATAGTTAAATAGTTTTAGACTAGAGCTCTCTACCACCATTGGGAGGCAGGACTTAGCATACAATGCAACATGCAGAGAGACAAAGTTAGTAACTAATAAATTATATTTTCCATTTGGTTTGAAGGCTGAATGAGGTTTCTAGGATTTGCCTTTTTGCTAATTCTTAGAATATCAAGTAAACAAGAAAGAAGACTGCCACAGGGAACTAATTTTAACAACCGCAATACACTACGCAATATTTTTGAGCAACCACCACAGCCGGGCGTTGAACTAGGTAAAAGGAATTGTGGGAGATAGTGGCCATTGCACAATAAGAGGTTACATTTCCCTCAACGGCCAAACTGCCTTTGATTCGCCTGTTAGATACTTACAGAGCGCTGTGTTCTTCGAACACTAATCACAGCTCGAATTCCTAACACGTATGTCTTCTCTATGAAAGTATTAGTCCTGTGAGGAACGGCTGTCTGTGTATAGTTATCTATTGCTGCATAATAAATTACCCCAAAATTTAGTAGTTTACAACAACAATGATTATTTATTGTCCCTCATGGATTCTATGCATCAGGAATTGGCACACGGCTTGCCTCTCCTCCACAGTGCGTGGGGCCTGGGAGACTCAAAGGCTGAGAGCAGGAATCATCTGAAGCCTCCTTCACTCACATGCTTGTAGTCGGATGCTGGCTCTTGGCCGCAACACGCGCACATGGCTTCTCCCTGTGGCCTGGGCTTCCTCACAGTAGAGAAGCTGGGTTTCAAGATGGGGGTGGAGGTGGGGTGAGAGAAAGGCAGAGGGAGAGAGGAAGAGGTGAAGATCGGTGAAAACCTTATATAAACAAAAAAGAAAGTAGCCTCAAAGCACAACTGAGTCAGACTGAAAGGGTCTATTGAAAAAAGATGGTAAGGGAGGACACGTTCAGGTTCATGAAGCCCGTGCTGCCGGGGAAAATGAGCCCAGAACGGACAGACACTGTGGGATGATTTACAGGCAACAAAAGAGTTAATGTAGGCATAACAGGAGCACCACCGGAAGGGCCAGAACCCTCCTTAGGAAGAGGTAGTACCCTGGTTAGATTGTAATATGGAAAGATAAGAGTTTGGTTATAAACTGAGTCAAAACGCATCATATAATCCCGTGATTTTTCAACCACCTACTTAAGAGATGCGGGAAGGGTGCCTGAGGGATGAGGAATTTCAGGGCTCGGCCCTTCACACCAACTTTAGCCAGAGACCCTTTATATTCAGAGAGAAGCACTGATCAATTTATAAAGCCCCTCCTTTCATAAATCCTGCGTGACTGGGGACGGTCAGAGCCAGAAAGCAGTGGAGACCCGCATCGCTTTCTCCGCTGCGCAGGGCGCCTCTCCACTCTGCCTCCATCTCCTCCCGCAGGGACAAAGGAAGGGCCGCTGCGAAGCATGAGAGGCTGTCGCTGGTCAGATGAGAAAGGCACACGGCCCCAGAGAGGCCTGAGGAATCACGCCCTTACCTGTGAAATTTGCAGGCATGGTTTATGTCCTTTTCTCCCTCCCCCTTTCCTTTCTTTGATTTTTAGGATTCTCTGTTCCCCTACCTCTTTATTGTGAAAAGTATTGCACATACACACAGAAAAGCTGATAGAGCTTCGATAAAGTGAATACTCATATACTCTTCACCTAAGGTTTAGGTCCTAAACGGTTGTTTAACATTTTGCTATTTATATATATATATTTTTTTTTCTGAGCCAGAGTCTATCAAAATTCTCCACTGTAGTGGTTGTTATGCAAAATAAGGGAGACAGGTTCTAGGAAAACAAGTCTCATGGGGAAGTGGGCCCAGTCTACTTTTCTCACCGCTGTCTCCTTTCACTTGTGTATTCCAGGCGGAGATTCTCACCAGCCTGGTGGTCAGCAGCCCCGCGGACGCGGAGAAGGCCGCACTGGTGCTCCTGGAAAGGGGCTGCCGCGTGGTGATCATCACCTTGGGCGCCGCGGGGTGTGTGTTCCTCTCTCAGGCAGAGCCTGTTCCAAAGTACATTCCCACGGAGAAGGTCAAGGCTGTGGATACCACGGTAGGCTCTGGCTTTCAGAATCCTTTTTGGCCCTTGAAGACACATTTAGTTACTAACATACTGCACTGCACTGTCTGTATCATAAGGTAACGGCTCCACGAGGTGATATGGTAGAGAAGAAAAACAACCAGGCAGGAGAACCTTATCCTAATGCCTTTCTAACCAACTACAGAACTTTCTACAGGTCACTTAAGCTCTCTGAGCCTCACTTTTCTCATCCACAAAATTGGAATGCCAGTAAAATTATACCTGTATTACCTATATTCATTTATGTTTTCAAGAAGTACTTATTGAATACCTATTCTATGCCAGCACAATTAGGCGCCAGGGCTATAATGATGAGCATGACAGTCTGTGCCATCAGGGGCTTAGATTTTAGACAATGAATCTAAGCGTCTTACAAGCTTCATGTGGGATGAGACAGCAAGGAGCACTGGCCAGCAAAGCTCATTCTTTCAGCCAATAAGTATTATAGTAACAGCCATCACGTACCACATGCTTCTGTGTCTCTTTTGCATACATCTCATGTAATCTCTGCAAGAATTATATGAGGTAGGTATGGCCATTTTCCTCGTTGCACAGATTTAGAAATGTGCTCAGGACCATAATGCGGGGAAGTAACAGAGCTGAGGGTTCAGCAATAGGCCTGTGGGGACTCCCCTACACTTTGTGTGCAAGGCGCTGGGGTAAGGACAAGCGGGATAAGTGGACAAGTCACAGCTAGCTACAGGGCAGGGATGAAAAGAAACAAGTCGGGAAAAAGGCCCAGGGTTCCTCTAAAGCTGGGGAAATATAAAGGTTTTCTTTATGGCCTAGAATTCAGAAGAGCTGGCTAGAAAAGTAAGCACATGTCAGGAACATGAAACAAGGGGAAGAAGGAAATGGGTAGAATTTTTATTTATAAGACACTGTTGTGTAATTATTCACAAAACATGTTTTGGTTTTTATACTTGAAAAAGAATTTAAAATATGGATCATTTATGAAAAAAGAAGCCTAAGAGGATCTGATGGAAGTTTTAGATACGAGCATGCTTTGAAAACTAGTAAGTGCAAGGCATGCTTTTAGAACATGAAGCTGCTTGTCATTGTCTTATTAAATGTGCTCCATCGGGCATTTGACAGATTGTACGTGGCACTGTCTTCTCTTCCTGTGTAATCACTTGTGAATCCATTAGCTTTTTTTCCTGTTTTGTCAGGATGGACAGGGAAGGTTTCTTATTAGTTCTGAAATTGATCCTGCAACAGACTACAACTATCCCCAGTCCTGAGCTAAAGCAGGAGCGTCTTTCCCTCTCTTGCTAAGCATGAAATGAAGGGTCCCCGGAAGACCCTCTGTAGGCCCCCAGCAGTGGAGTCCGTGTCAGTCAGGACTCCTTTTGCTCACCAGCACCAGAAGCACAGCTCAGAGGGGCCTACACAGAAAAAGGGCCGCACTGGGTGCACAGAATTAGGATGTTCAAGAGTATGGCAGAATGCAGAGGCTAACCCGAGTCATGGCACTCGCTCGCTCTCTCTCCTGTCAGCTCTGCTCGCCTGGCGGTGGGCTTTGAGCTCAGGCTGGCCCCCTCCAGTGAGGGTCCCTGGAAGCTTCCTGCCCACACTGCACCCAACATCACGTCCCCACGTCTGGTGTCACATAAAAATCAAAGAACTCTTATCAGAGGATAGGAAGTGGATGCTGGTCAAAGAAAAACCAGAGGATAGGAAGTGGATGCTGGCCACCACAGAACACTCATATGGAAGTGCACTGCTTGAATGATGAAGAAACCACTTGGGAAATGTTCAGATTCAAATCAATAGTAATAACCCTCAGAGTAATTTCCTGTTGAAAGATGGGATTGCATAGATCACGACAGATGACAACTTTGAACATCTTAAATACAGTGATGGGCATGAAGGAAGTTTTCGCTTTGTTTTGTGCCCCTGCATTTGGTTTCTTAGTGTTCCCAGTTAATTTTTAGGCTTTGGAAAGGTGAAACAGTGAGAGTTCAAAGTTGAAATACAGGGAGAGTTCAAAGGTGAAACAGAGAAAGTTCAAAGGTGAAACACAGGGAAAGTTCAGAGGAGAAACAGATTGCTTAATGCTTGGAGGCAGGAGATAGAAAATGGGGTCAGGAAGGTCAGGGCACTGGATCAGGATCAACAAGTCTTTCCTATAAAGTGCCGGATAGTAAAGTTAGAGGTTTCACAGGCACCTACATGTGCTCTGTCTCAACTACACAACTTTCATGCCTTGGTAGCGTGAAAGCATCCATAAACAACTCTGTATGCTATCAGAATTAGGTTGGTATCTATATATATAAAAAGCCTAAGCAACCATTCAACCAGTAGCTATGACACACACTGACCATCAGAGGGTAGAGGCTCAATGCACAAGCATGGAAACATGGAACAGACTGATGAATCTCAGAGGGAAGGGGACAGAGGAGAGGGTGGGAAGAGATTAAACAAAGAGCTTATATGCATACAAAGGCCCAGTGCATGATTCGTGCACTGGTGGGTTCCCTCAGCCTGGCCTGTATGGATTGGGCCGAAATCAGCAGTCCAACATCCCCCAAGGGGTTCTGGATTGCAAGAGGACACTGGTCAGGCCTAGGGACCTCACCAGTGCACAAATCTGTGCACTGGGCCTCTAGTTTAGTAATAACTGGATTATTTTAAGTCAAGATGTTAATTGGAATCACCAATGCATTCGCTAGGACAAGAACTAAAAAAATAAAAACACACTAAAATAAATAAGAAAATTGAAATGGTACACTAGAGATGCAGTAAAACAGAAACAGGAATGAAGAAGCTACTGGAAGACAAGCTCTTATAAACTGAAGGATAGAACTAAGAGTGAAAGATATGGGATCTAGAAACAGGCACTGCAACATAGGAGAGTGCAGTTAAGGATAGTGAAGGAAAGTTCCAGAAAGCTGCTGTGCAGCGAGCTCAAAACCATTCAGTCCAGATGAGGGCCCTCAGAGGAATGTCTCTCAGAAAAGAAAAAAAAAAGGAAAAGAAAGAAATAGTGAAATATCCATATATTTGAATATGCCCAGAATTTGAGGATGAACTAGTAAGTTACTATGTAGAAAACTGAGGAAATTTTTAATTTTTTCCTCTATGTCATCTGGAGTCTAAGGGGAAAAGTATGATTAAGCAAATCTTAGTATACAACATGATATTAATTCATAGTCATAACAGTGTAAGTTCCAATTATTGATTTAACTAAAAATGGATATTATAATCATATTGTGAAGATTGAAAGAAAAAGTGAGTGTGTGTTTGTGTGCACATGGGTGAATATAAGAGAATTAAATGCTCATCTTTCATAGTTAGAATTCAAGAGATAATATCTAAAACTGGTTTTCAAAATAGTGGTATAATGCACATTGCCAGAAATAGAAGATTAACACCAGAAGAAACCGCTAAAAGAATTTAAAGTATTTGCCTAGTGAAAATGATTGTGGAGAAAGATGGAACATTTATACTTTAAGTCTTATCTTTTTAAATTGTGTATATGGATGGCTCTGATTCTTTTTAAGTGACAAAACACAATGAGATACCGTGTCATACCCACTGGGATGACTATAATCAAAAATAGATAATAACAAGTGCTGACTAGTCTGTGGAGAAATTGGAACCCTCGAGCAATGCTGGTAGGAATGTAAAATGGTGTGGCCACTATGGAAGACAGTCTGGAAAAGTTTCAAGAAGTTAAACTTAGTGTTAGTTGCAATATGACCCAGCAATTCTACTCCTAGCTATCTACCCAAGAGAAATGAAAACATATGCCCACGTAAGAACTTATACACGAACATTCATAGCAGCGTTATTCATAACTGCCCAAGCCTGGAAACAGCCCAAATGTTCATCAACAGATGAATGAATAAACAAATTGTGGAATATACTGTGGGGGAGTCAGAAAATTTCTTTTACCCTTCTAGGTTCTCCTGGCTGGTCTAATAATGAAATCAACATGAGACAGAGTAACAAGAGAAAATAACCAAAATTAATTACATATGTATGGGAACCCCACATGCATGAGTCAGAGATCCCCACATACATGAGAGGTTCTGAGACAGAGGTTCTGAGGTACACACAAGCTAAGAATGAAGAGGCACCTTGGGGGCCTCAGAGGAGAGGAAGGCCATTCGCAGGAGGATAAGAAGAGCAATATTTTCAGTAATTATATGCTTGTCCAAATACCAAAGTTTTTTTTGGTAATAACTCTTTTTGTGGGCAAGGCACCAAATTTAAATTCTTTAAAGAAGAGTAAAACTTTCTCATGAGCCCACAGAGTCTTGATTGTCTTTGGCTATGCCTGCCAAAGAGGCACATCTTGGGGAGGTCTATTCTGAACCCCTTCGATACATATAATAGAATGTTATTCAGCCATAGAAAGGAATACTGATGCATGCTATAGCACAGAGGAACATCCATGACTATACTGAGTAAACAAAGCCAGACAAAAAGGGCCACATATTATATGCTTCCATTTACATGAAATATCCAGAATAGGTAAATCTACAGAAGCAAAGTAGGTTGGCGGTTGACAGTATCTGGGGACAGGGGATAATGGGAAGTGATGCTAATGAGTACAGGGTTCCTCTTTGGGGTGATGAAAATGTCCTGGAATGGTGATGGTTGCACAATCTTGTGGATACACTAAACACCACTGAATTGTGTACTTTTAAAGGGTGGCTTTTATGGCATGTGAATGATATCTCAATTCAGAAAACAAAGATCAAAAAGGTAACAAAACGATCCATTGAGGCACCTCACTAAAGAATGGGTACTCTTGTGCTGAGGAATTGTCCATGTGATGGCTCTACTGAACCTACCTGAATGGGTGGGTGCTCAGCGTCCCCCAGCAGAGTGGAGGTGACGCAGGAAACAAGGGTAGTTATTTTCTGGGTGTGGAATCTCTCTCAGCTATCTTTGTTTTTATGCTATCTTTGTCCTCTCATCCGGCACGCTCATTATTGAAATTCTTGCCTGTTCTGCACACAACT